TAAATCTGTTCATCATAAAAAGCGATCCGACTAAACTGCTCAATTCGTATGGATTAGTTTTACAATCTCTTTATGAACTTTTTGAAGCGTCAAAGATCAAGTTGGAAAGGCAGAATGCTATCATCTTAGGGTGCTTTCACACTAGCACTTTTGGTGCACACCCGGGTTCGATTGACGTCAGAGTTCGGTTCGTTTGGATGATGAGAACGCTGTTTTCCGAACTCGGGTGCACCCGAGTCCGCTTAAAAAGGGTGGTCTGGGGTACGGTTCAAGTGAACTCCGGTACGGTTCACTGCTGATGTGAACACAATCGTACCAAATCGCGGAAGTGAACCGCTATTAATGACGTATTATTTGATAAAAATGTGTTTGTGTGTGTGTTTCACTCACTTTCTTGATGAGCGTGACTGACAGAGAGCTGTATATCTAATTTTTGTTTGCCTTCAGCGTTCTTTAGAGCACTTGCAGTACATTCGTAAGACAGACGTAAGTGCCGTTATGTACCGAAGCTTTGTAAACAAAACGAACGGTTCAAAAACGTAAATATATAAAAGTGCAGAGAGCAATGTTATGCATTTGCGCCTCTGCTCCTGCGTCGTCGTTACTGAGCAATGGGGTAAACGGCTGCTGGCTTGATGACGCAAAACAAACCGCGGTTCGGACGCAAATAAAATAATATGAACGCAGTCCAGCGGGGGAGGGGGGAGCATTCGAACTCGGGTTCGGACCAGGCAAGCGAACCAAGTGTGAAAGCACCCTTAATTTGTGTTCTGAAGATGAACGAAGGTCTTGCGGGTGTGGAACGACATAAAGGTGAGTAATTAATGACATAATCTTCATTTTTGGGTGAACTAACCCTTTAATGTCATCTTTTACTCATGAGTCTGGAACAACATGAGAATATCTACTGTATAACACAAAAGATATTAGGCAGAAAAACGGACTCGGCCACTATTACTTTTTATTTTATGTAAAAAAGATATATTGAAACTGACTGGTGACTGAGCCTGTAATTTTGCTTAACATCTTTTGCATTCCACGGAAGAAAGTCAGTCATGCAGGTCTGGAACAACATTAGCAGACCTACCAACCTGTACGCATATTGCGTAGCGGATACGCAGAGGCGGACAGTAGTGAAGTATTTTTACTCTGCTGTAAACGTACTTTTCAGGTGTCTGTACTTTATTAGAGTATTTTTCTTTAGAAAACTTTACTTCACAACATTTCAAAGCATGATATAGTACTTTTTACTGCACTACGTTTCATATTAAATATCATTTAATACGTAATTACATTAGAAATCTATTACTTTCTTACTTTTACTCAAGTCGATTAGCAGTGGATTATAAATATAACGTTACTTAATTATTAAAATGCTTGTGGTGGTTTTAAGAACACAGATAAACATTGTCGCAGTACAGTGTTTATTATCTTAATGGTCTTTTTGAATGTCATCATTCAAAGCGTTTCTGTCTTCTTTCATTCCGTTACAGCGATAGCTCGCTGTTTTTGTCCTAATTAGGGATTTCCTGGAGCGTCCTGAGGTCTATTTCTTCTGTAATGTATATGTGGATTTTCTGCGTGAGGGCGCCCTCAGGCATCCAGTGTGAATGAAACGCACATTACATGTGTTCATAGCACTAAATAATGGCCAATCGATAAAAATAATACTTCTTTTTTTTTAAATGGCATTTAAAAATAGCAAAAGAGAACTAAACCAAAAACCTGAAGTATTTATTGAACCGTGGGCTAACTGTATTGTTGCAGCCCTACTTTTTACTCTAAAATACTGTATAACAGGAATATCACAAGCTTGAGTGCAGACCATGATTATTTAACATTAAATCTTGCAAATTCACTTAAACTTACAAATGTTCTGGGTTTGTGCCAGCTCTGTTTCACATTAGTGAAACGAAACTATTAAAACAGAAGATCTAAAAAGGTTAAACAGAAAACAAAACGTATAAGTGTATGAACCGTCACAAATAACGAAGCTAGCTATCTTGTTAGCTCGAGAATACTTACCCTCAAAGTTGTCGACATAACTTGAAACATCCGATTTAAAGCCCTTCTCCTTACTAAATGTGTAAGAGATGCCACTTCGATTGACAGCGTTGACAGTAATCAGTGGAAGATCTTGCAAGCAGCGACTCTAAAATCCATGCTGATAGCGCTCGTTGAAACGGTAAGCAAAAATGTGAGTCGAGCAACAGTGCGTAGATGTTGATTGCACATAGAAGTGCAGATTCAGAGAGAAAAAGTGAAATAATAACATTGTCATAGAATTGGTTTAAATAATTAGATTTTGTTAAATGCCCGACATAGTTTAAAAGAATTCGGGTCTTCTCGGGTCCATTATGAAAAAGAACATTTATTTTAAATTACCCAAAACCCGAGGCCACTAATATCGAACCTGACCCGTGTCCGAGGCACTCGTCAAAGTTTTGTTCCCGAACCCGCTCGGGTCTTGGGTCGGGCCTCGGGTTCAGCGTATTTTACAAAAGCACAACGTTTTGTTGATATTGTGAGTGCACGCAAATAAAAGTAGACCCTTTACAGTTACGAGTGATGTATTACTCTTATGAGCAAAAATGACAGCATATTTTAAATGGTCAGTTCCACTGAAAAAAAAATGCAAGTGATTGCGCTGGCGCCTCCATGTCCTGCAAAGTGTGCTTCAGCTTCCACTCTCTGCACCAACGATTGGATATGCGCCTATTAGCGCACATTTATCTAGGTTTAACGTTTAAACTAACATTGTTATATGCTTGAAGTGTTTTATATCTATAGATTTTATTTTAGGCAAGTCGTGATATTTGAGAAGGCTAAATTGATCAAACATAGGCTATGATCAACTCACTGTCTGCTGCTGGCCGCTTGGTCGTTACTTTAAAAAAACATAAACCTAGGCTATATTTAACGAACAAAAAATTATCAAAACGTTTTTCTAAATTAACTTAATAAAAAAAAACTAAATGAAATATAATCCCTTTGCCATTACATACAAAACTGTACATATATAGTAGTACAAGCTGTTTTGGGAGAAGGGGAAAAAAACAAAACTTTTTTTTTTCATTTTAAAATTTAAGTTACTTAAATAAAAACAACATTTTGTTATTGCAATGCTAAATTTGTCGCAATTTTGCACTTTGACTTTTGACCGTCTGAGATTTTTGAATATCGTGTGTAATAAAACAATGGACTTTGACAAAATAATTGTATAGCATTGTTGTTTTAAATATCAAATATTCCTTATAAATGCTTATTTAGATACTTGAAGTATACGTTGTTGTGAAAAACAAAGTACTTTTAATGTCACTAGCTACTTTTTGGTAGTAACTTGTAGTGTAGCTTGCTACTTTGTCAGAAGGGTAGCTTGACTGTAGCTTAATTACTTTCATTTATATGTCTACTCCACGTGGGCCAGATGTGGGCCGGATCTGGGCCATATTGCTGTCTGGGTTGAAGCTGATCAAGTTACAGTTTTAGAATAGCTTCCCCAACACTGTATAATTTATTTGCATGCTTCAGGGATGTGATTCTTCCGGATGAATCCGCAATTCCGTGAATCAAGCAGGGCTGCATTTCCCAAAAGCATTGTAAGCTTAAAGCGTAGACCCATTGAAAACAATGGAGCTACGATCAACTTAGGCTTACGATGTTTTTGGGAAGCAGCCCAGATCAGTAATAAAAAAAGGTTCAGAGTGATGCTGGTTATTGTGCGATGAATGAAATCGCGAAATGCAATTATAACTAAATAAATTGCGGAAAAAGTTGAATGTTTTTAATACGTCATGGATGGAATGGTCCTGAGAGTGCTGTAAGAGCTTGCGGCGCCACCTGCAGGACAGGGTGCACATGGTTCAAAGCACCAAATGTGAGTAAAATCAGTGCTGAAGCCTTACTTGGTAACTTCTTTTATGAATGGTGGTGAGAATTTGAGATTGGGAATGCAACAGTCATGATTAGAATCGTTTAGAAATGTGCCGTTTACAAAAAGAGAAGTTTCAGTGTCACATGAACCTCCAGAAATCATTTTAATACGCTCATTTGCTGCTCAAGAAACATTTGCTATTTATTATGATCAATGTTAAAACGTTTTTGTGGAAACAATGATACCACTCAAACATTTGTGGTAAGGTTTAAAATTTACATTAAAGTTATGAAAAGTGAGTGAAGAGTGAACACATTTAAAATGTTACGAAATGTTTCTATTTAATAAATTTATTACATGTATTTGATAAGTGCTGTTCATTGAACTTTCTTTTTTTATCAAAGAATCCTGAAAAATAAAATGTATTTCCACACAAAATATGCAGCAGCACAACGGTTTTCAACATCGATAATAATCAGAAATGTTTCTTGAGCATCGAAAACAATATTGATATCATTAATTGTTTCCCATTTTTTTGGCATGTACTTTAATAATAACAATTTTATTATTATTATTATATCATGATTATTAAATGCTGCTTTTTATTTTTGCAGGACAATAGTGTTATTATGACAAAATTATTAAAATATATAGTCCAGCAGAGCTTGGCTTCAACCCTCAAACAAGCTTTTTCTTTATTGCTTTTGGCTATTTAATCATTGTTATTGCTATTTCCTTTATCAGTTTATGGCTATAAAATGGGGAAATAGCTGTGAAAAGATTACGAAGATATGAAAGTAAATCTGGTTCTTGGGTGATAATTATTTGAAGATATTATGAACTCTGCTTTATCATTACACCCCTTTTAACATTTTAATCAGTTTATACCTCTGCATTCGAACGTTACACTCTTTAGTAGTTTCAGCATAATGACTAACGCATTCAATTGAATTAATTTCTATGTCAACTGTTATTTGCATGTGTTTTATTCTAGGAACATGTCCATGCACTGCTGTAGCTTGAGGACTTTTATTTTGGTGTGGCGCTGTGAAGTCACAGGGCTGCGGCGCGCTGTTGTGATTCAGCTGAAGAACGGTTTGTGCTTTTAAGCATTTAAAGTGTTTAACTCAATGCATGTTTAACTAACATGTTTTAGCGTTACTTGTGTGAGTAAAGCGCATCCACACACGCGAGTTACAGAGAAGACGCGTCTCATTTCGCTCCTTTTATCGTGAATCAGTTTATAGTGAACGCGAGTTCAGTCACTGGTGAGTAGAGCTGCAGAAACTCGGCTCTTCAAAGCTTCGAGTGAATTGAACCGAACGCACCGCAAATGATTCAGTGATTCAAACCGCTCGGTTCACCGCGCACTGGCGACATCTGCTGCTCAAACCAACAACAAACACATGTAATGACAACTTTAACAAACCAACTGCAGATGTTTTTATTTAAAGTGGCAAATGCATTTTATAAATGCCTGATGTAAACCATATACGTGTGCAGACTACTGAACATAGAGAGCCGATTGAGACGCACCACATTTTATTTCTGTTCATTATTGTCATCTTAATCACGACAGAGTGTCCAAACACCGAAAGTAAAGATGGCGTCTATTAAAGAGGAGAGTGAAGACGTTAAGGTTGAAGATGCAGTCGGTGTGAATCAAGAAGATGATGAGGAACAAACAGGTTGGTTTTCATTTGTGTCCCAGTTGGTCCTTAACGAAATGTTTCCCTCTACAGAAACGAACGATTATTGAAGATTGGTTTTTAATAAAAAAAGCGGTTTTGTTTGACATGGAGCCTCGTGTGGACCGAAATGTTGAGACCACACGACCAGACGAATACTAACGCTGCTGAGAAGATCCTACTTAAAAGTTTAGTTATTGTGACATTACGCATCTTAAGGCTACGTCCACACGAATACGCCCACCGATCTTTTTCTTCCCACCCTCTTCTCAAGAAATATCTGCGTCTACACGAAACCGACACAAAACGATGTAGTATACATGCCAGCACGATAAATCGAAATGGAATCGAGATCGCGATTCGACAGACGCTGCGATTGCATGCGTATCTTTCAGTGAAGCACGGTTCTGTGATCAGTAGTAAATCTGCATCCGAAGGCCAGAGAAACTCCAAATACGCCTCGCAGAAGAAACCAGAAAATGCCTATCGCTGCAGCTGAATAAACAGAAGATTCAACTGCTTTCGTTGATTCAACGTGACTAATAAACACACGACTACGACAATATATGGTTTATCCGAGTTCTTATTATTATCATTTTCATTAAAACAAAGTATATTTATAATGCAATGCCTTTATCACGGCTTAAATACTACGAAATATGTTGCGTGCCTTATTCTGTGTAAGAAGCCACGTCATCTCACAGAAGGATTTATTTCAGACACTCGACTGACGTTGTGAAGTGAGCTTAGAGTAAAAACGTGTTATTAAATGTGGTATTTTCACATGCTTTCAGATGGAGCCGCGTTTACTACACAGAGCCGTAGTTCACTGCTGTCAGCTGTCATTATCGCCAACGATTTCTTAGATTTCAGAATCGCGCAATAAAATCGTAAAAACGATTTTATTTAATTTTTTTGCGTAACTTGTCAGTGAACTATGGCTATGTGTAGTAAATGCTGCTCCATCTGAAAGCACGATCAACCGTACAGAACCGGCTTTTTTAACAAAATGCGCATGACAATCGCATTCGATTAATCGTGCAGCCCTACATGCCGGACCAGTATGCGGCGCTGTAATTCTGCCACAGAGATACACTAAAAATGGAGAAGACTTGGATTATGCGCATAAACTTTGTGCGCGGTATACAAATGAACATGGAACAATACATTTATTAATCTGTGTTAATGTTAGTCAATAAAAAGAGAATCGTTCAGTGTTTGTTCACGTTTTTGTTGCCGTTACGTGACGTAGCGGCGAGACGTGGAAAACGTCATCGTTTCAGGAAATATACGGATTCGCTGTCCACACGAAAACGCAAGGGCGGCGTTTTCAGATTTGATCCACTCTGGGACCCGGTTTTTAAAAATATCGGTTTCACTCTCCCAAAACGCCGGATCCGTGTGGACGAAACGGCTATGCGATACAAAATTCATGCGTATACAGCTAAGTATAGAAAAAGATATCTTAGAAAAAGATAATACACAAGTAGCCTAAACAAAACAGTTTCATTAATTCACTCAGCCCTCCAATACCATTGTCATAATGCGGTCGAATACATAGGACTTGAACCATGCTAATGCTTCTCCACGAATGCCAAAATAATTCCCAAGCCATCCAAAATAATATTGTGGTGTATGTTGCTGAAAGATGTAACCGCACTTTATGAAAGATGTAAGTCTTGGCAGCACATTTTCTCTGTGGAGATGAGGCTTGATTTCTAAATGGTATTACACAAATACAGTGTCTTTGCAAAACTGAACATCGTTAAGAGGACAGTCTTTTAATATTATTTCAGAAACAAATGGATCACGCAAAGTGCTTGAATTTAGCTTTTTTTTTATTAGAAATTTAAGGTTTGAAATACCTGGAAAAACGACTTGTTTTGTTGAAAAGTACATAAAAGAATGTATGTGGTTTGCACAAGCGAGAAACAAATATAGATTGGTGAGATTTAATAGGCTTCATACCTAAATGTCTAAAGAACGCTGCATAAAATACATTTATGAGGAAGAAATTGTAATCCACAAATATTATATGATAATCGGGCTTGATTCCCTCTTCTGTCAAAAGTTGCCAATAAATATATTACTATATATGCGCTACGAGTCGGAGCGTGTATTCAGTGCGTCTGATTGGTGAGATTTAATAGGCTTCATACCTAAATGTCTAAAGAACGCTGCATAAAATACATTTATGAGGAAGAAATTGTAATCCACAAATATTATATGATAATCGGGCTTGATTCCCTCTTCTGTCAAAAGTTGCCAATAAATATATTACTATATATGCGCTACGAGTCGGAGCGTGTATTCAGTGCGTCTGGCCACACTGTCACTCCAGATAATGAATGTCATTATCAAATAACTGATTACTTTCAACACAACCAGGTTCTTAACTGCAGAAAACAATATAACAGTACACTCATCCACGGAGATCAAGATGTGCAGAGATTTTTGGTCTTTTGTCTTGCCAATACAGGAAAACTGCTAACTTTATTGTTTAAGTTAAGTAATTTCTTCAGGTAGTAAGCAAATATAGAACTCGCTATCATCAGTATTGCAGTGAAATCTAATGAAAATATCTTAAAGCTGAAAATATCTGAAAATATCTAAGCTTATACAAGGAGAAAAGCAGCGGACCTAATACTGAGCCCTGCAGCACTCCATACTTGTGTAAATGAAGAGACATTTCATCAAATGCAAGCAATGTGGTAGCAGTTAGATAACTAGGACATAAACTCTACCCATTCTTGTCCACAAGTGCCAAAATAAGCTATCTAAGAGAATGTTATAGTCTGTTTTTTTCTGATAACTGCCAGCTTGAAAGATTTCTGAACATCCTAAAGAAAGCAAAGCGAACACAATATTGACAAGAGGTTCTCAAATTACAGGTTACAACTTTTTTTAGTAGCTTGGTGGGTATGGGATCCAGCATATATGCATGTTTTTGATGTTTTACATGTCTGTTGCTTTGTGCCCATTAAACGGGTTAATTTGTATTTGCCTCTTTTCACCTTAGATCTAATGCCGCTGAAAGAGGAGAGTGAAGTACTGGATGAAATGGAAGCAAAAGATCATGATATCGTAACCGAAGAAAAATCTGAAACGATTTCCTCACGAAAAAGTAATTTCACCTGCCAACAGTGCGGAAAGTGTTTCTCTACAAAAGGAAACCTGAAACTCCACATGGACATTCACACTGGAGAGAAGCCTTACGCCTGCCAGCAGTGTGGAAGGTGTTTCACTAAGAAAGGAGCCCTTAAAAGTCACATGAGCATTCATACTAGAGAAAAGCCTTACACGTGCCCTCAGTGTGGAAACTGTTTCACCCAGCAAGGAAGCTTTAACAGGCACATGAGAGTTCACACTGGAGAGAAGCCTTACACCTGCAAACTGTGTGGAAAGAGCTTTACAACCAAACTAAACCTTAAATATCACATGAACAGTCACACGGGTGAGACGCCATTTACATGTGATCAGTGTGGAAGGAGCTTCCGACATAAGGTAACCCTTAAAAGGCACATGAAGGCTCACTTAAGAGAGAACAGTTTTATGTGTCATCAGTGTGGGCTGGGTTTCTCAGACAGCAAAAACCTTAAGAATCATGTGATAACTCACACTGGAGAGCAACCGTACATGTGCCTTCAGTGTGGAAAGACTTGCGCAAACAATACCAACCTTGGTGTTCACATGAGAATTCACACTGGAGAGAAGCCTTTCACCTGCCCTCAGTGTGGAAAGAGCTTCAGATTTATCGGAAACTTTCAGACTCACATTAGAGTTCACACAGGAGAGAGGCCTTACACGTGTCTCGAGTGTGACGAGAGTTTCTCATATCAGAGAGACCTGAAACGTCATGTGCTAACTCACTCTGGAAAGGAAGTCTAGTGGCAAGAGGTTTACAAAGTAGAGCAATTTCAAAAATCACCTGCGCATTCAGTCTGGAGAAAGGCAAGTTGTGAAATAAAATTTGTCATCACACCGATAAATCTGAAAATCATGTGCAGAGCCTATTCTTGTTTTTTTTGTGTGACAAGTTTTAAATGGCTCTGCAATATAAATGGGACCAGAAAATACTAGTGACGCCGTGAAATTTCAACAAGTTTCAAATATTAAATAGTTGTGAGTAGGGATGCACAATATTGGATTTTTGCCAATATTTTTCAACTCATTGTAGCCAATGCCGATATAGTTCCTTTTGTTTGGAAACAACACCAAGTCTCTCCTATGCGGATATTATAAACAAATTGTAATTATTGTTAGTTTTTAACAAAAACTTTAATTAGAATTAAATAAACAATCATGAAGTTATTTTATAATGACAGTACATTGAAAGATTTAAAAATAACTACAAATCAACTGCATTTTCTTTCTTTAGACGGAGGCAGTGCTAACCTTAACATTTTATGAAAAGATTTAACATTTGTAGATGGTCTAAAGCAAAAGAGTTGTAAAAAAAATATATTTTTGAGCTCCTTGTATTTTAAGGAATAGTTCACCCCCAAAATGAAAATGTTGTCATCATTCACTCACCCTCATGTCATTCCAAACCTGTATGAGTTTCCCCATTGACTTCCATAGTAGGGAAAAAGACGTTGGAAGCCAATGGGGACCAACAACTGTTTGATTATCAGCATTCTTCAAAATATCTTGTTTTGTTTTCAACATGTGAAAGAAACGTATACAGGTTTGGAACGGCTGTTAATCTGTTAATGTTATTTGTGTATTTTACTTTCATTGTTATTACAAGTAGGCCTACAGTGCCCCCGAAGTAAATAAAACACCTTAGCGGGCATTAACTACAGACAGGCATTAGGACCCGGCGGAGGCTGCTGCATACGTTAGTGACTGTTCACCATCACACACTGGACGCGCCATTTTCAAAATAATCTAATCACCATTCAGCAAAATGTTCACTTCAAGAATGACCACACTGCTGTGATCTTATCGCTAGCACACCATGAGCACGTGACTTATTTGTCTTATCGGCAAGGTGTATCAACATTATTTATCATATCAGGCCGATGCCGATATTTACATTTTAAGCCATTATTGGCCAAGTCCGATAACATTCTGATAATATCGTGCATCCCTAGTTGTGAGAGATGCTCTTTAATTTTGATTGTGTGGAGGTGTCTTTCATATATTTGATTCAGTGTAGTATTTTTACAAAAAAAATAAAAATTGTTGCTGGGAAATGGCAATGTTAAAAACAAATAAAAGAATGAAATAATGAACATTGCAATGGGGAATTCTACATAAGCACATGTTGTCAGTCTGGACTTTATTTGTGTATTTTACTTTCATTGTTATTACAAGTAGGCCTACAGTGCCCCCGAAGTAAATAAAACACCTTAGCGGGCATTAACTACAGACAGGCATTAGGACCCGGCGGAGGCTGCTGCATACGTTAGTGACTGTTCACCATCACACACTGGACGCGCCATTTTCAAAATAATCTAATCACCATTCAGCAAAATGTTCACTTCAAGAATGACCACACTGCTGTGATCTTATCGCTAGCACACCATGAGCACGTGACTTATTTGTCTTATCGGCAAGGTGTATCAACATTATTTATCATATCAGGCCGATGCCGATATTTACATTTTAAGCCATTATTGGCCAAGTCCGATAACGTTCTGATAATATCGTGCATCCCTAGTTGTGAGAGATGCTCTCTTTAATTTTGATTGTGTGGAGGTGTCTTTCATATATTTAATTCAGTGTAGTATTTTTACAAAAAAAAAAAAAACTGTTGCTGGGAAATGGCAATGTTAAAAACAAATAAAAGAACTGAAATAATGAACATTGCAATGGGGAATTCTACATAAGCACATGTTGTCAGTCTGGACTTTAAAGGGGTCATATGGTGCAATTTCAAGTTTTTCGCGATGAACTAAGATGAGTGACAGCTTTTGATTTTTAAGGGAGTTTGTAAATGTGATACTGATTTAATACAACATTTCAATAAACAAGAAGTTAATATTAAGTGACTTACATTGTCTGACTATAACACTATTGACTGATTTTGCTCTATTTCATCGTCGAAAATAGTTTAAAACAAAGACACAGCTCAGCCACTGCGCATCTCCATTCAAACACAGCAGTGTTTCGTTTATGAATGAACGTGCGTTTCTGAACGAATCTAGTTATTCAGTGATTCATGATTACCCATTCATAAATACAGCCACTTGATTAATTCCTGAATGAATCAGCTGTTCGAACGAATCAATTGAATGAATGATTCAGTGATAAATATAAGACTTGCCGCCACCTGCTGGCAGTTTTAGTTTAATTTTTAAAGTATCTTTTCAGTTATTTAAATCTAATATTTCTATATTTAAAACATTAAAACTCATCATGAATTTATGAATTTAATTGCACTCATGCTACTTCTGAGCCTCATTAAATGTCTGAAAGTACATCAAGCCACTTGTGTGTTCTTCTGTGCCACCTCTACAAACGAATTTTGTTAATACTGATTTCATTTGATTTTTAACTTA